CTTACCTAATTATATATAAATGATTCGTTTTAAATCAACATAAATTAGATATAATTACTTATCATAATCACTTAAATAAATAATATATTTTATGATTCGAGTTAATTACATACGAGTACATCAGCGGTGGCCAAGAAGTAGGACAAATCAGTGTTAAGCCATCGGTCGACTAATGCCCTTTGTTTCGGGTCTGACGGGTATAGGGAGTCTTTGGGCGCGTATTTATTGCACAGATATTGCATAATGGCTCGACTCTCAAACAGCACGAGTTCGTCGTCCACTATAGTCGGCACTTTATGGGTCGGGTTTAGCTATAAATTCAATTCATTTATAAGTTATTTTATATTTTAAAAAGTATTACAAAACTAACCAAAATGTAATTCAAATGAGACATACCTTAAGATATTCGGGGCTCATGTGCTCGCTTTTAGAGAAATCAACATTTTTGATGTTCACATCGATGTTGAGGTGTTTGGCAGTCATTAAGACGGCCCGACACGGAGGGCTTAGGCTTAGAAAGTATAAGTCAATTGTCATTTTATTTTTACTAATATTATCCGAGATTTTGTTGTATGCTTTCCGTTGATAGGAGTTAGCGCTTGAAATGAATAAAACACTTGGTATTAACGTTGTGTTTCACTTATCGGTTGCGAAGAGAATGATAGCAATGATAACAATGTGTCCCTCTTTTATAGCAATGATTTATGTTTTATATCGATTTGAATCGTAATATTTTATGACTATTTCTCAAGCAACTAATAATTGAGCATTAAAACATGTTGGTGCATGCGACCAATGTTGGTGCATGAAAACAAAAATGCATGATTATGCAATAATTATCATACAATATTGCAGGAATCGGGATTGAATATACATTTATTAAGTATTAATTGAATAATATCTATATATTTATTTATTACTTTTTAATACAAAATGCACTAAAAATACAATTAAATTCCTTTTACGGGAATCGCCCACTTTATACTTACCTCGATTTCAATGTCATTTAGTTGTTATAATAATTGGTTATAATAATGTTAAAATAAGTTAGTATAAAATATAACTATAGAATAAATAACTTATAACTTAGATGTCAATTATCCTTAAAATGAAAGCAACATGTAATTTATTGATTATAACATTTTGTTAAGTATTGTAACGTAATAATACTATAAATATCATATTAAACAATTACTACTGTACTTTACTGTATAATGTATGTCAACCTATTCCGATATAATTTAATATTATTTTATAAATTAATAAATCGAGTTCAATCACTTAATATCAAAAAAAAAATTTTAAATGATAATTTATACATTTGTTTAATTTTTTGTTTGAGAATACATTTTATTTTTATGCCGTAACAATTAAAAATTTAAAATAGTACCGGTATTGAATCAATACTATTGATAATTATTGACAAATAATTTTTGGGTTTTATTATTTTGTAAGTAAAATACTTCACATTTAAAATAAAGTAAAATTATAATAATTCACATTTAAAGCACATAGGTGTCTTTAATTGACATGAAAAATATACAACTATATAAATATTTATAAATCAAATTAAAGGATAATCATTAATTAGTTAGTTTACTTCTTAGCGGCGGTAAATTGTTTGAAAAGTTGCGGTACTTTTCCATTCACTTCTTCAAAATATGGCAATTCTTTCTGTACTCTAAAGAACCAGTTCTTCACATTCGGGAAGTCATCCAATTGTTTGTAATCATTGATCGAAAGCGGCGTAAGAGTTGCCAAATACGAGATGTCGGCGATTGTCAACTCATTTCCGGCCACATATTTATTATCGCCGATAAAATTGTTCAAAACTGTGAAATTGTTGTGAAAATTTTTAACTGCGTTTGGATGCGGATCATCGCCTCTAAACAATTTGATCATCTGTTGAGATATGTTATAAATTTAGTTATTTATAAAACAGTCAATTGTTTTACAATTAATAGGCATATACTGACCACAACGTCCCGAATGGCGTACCAAATGCTCATATCATAGTAGAGAAGTCGGTCCACATTCGCCCTCTTCTTGAGGTCATGTGTCGGATAGAGAGCACTGTTTGGCGCATATTTAGAGACCAAGTACTGCATAATGGCTCGGCTTTCGCCCAACGCAAAGCCCTCGTCCACAATAGTGGGCACCGCGTGCTGTGGATTCAACTGTAGACATAATTTCAATATATAATTAGTATTGCATTTATTAAATGGTCAGTGAATGTGATTTAAGACATACCTTCAAAAACTCCGGCGACAACTGTTCCTGTTTCTGGAGATCCATATTAATTACATTAACGTCGAGTTTCAGGTGTTTTAATGTCATTAACACCGCCCGCGCGGGTGGACTCAGTTCAGCGAAGTATAGATCGATCGGCATTTTCTTAACAAATGTTGGATTTAATGTAAAATTTATTATGAATTTTAAACACTATTGGATTTGAAGTAACTTTTATTGTTAATCAATAAAACACTTTTGAAATGAATGTTATGTTTTACTTATTGTTTGCTCTTTTTATATCATCAATTTGTAGTAGAAATTATATTACTATGGCAACTAGTTTTTATTTAAACCGGTGGATTATATGTTTAATATAACGGGTGATCATTTCAATTTATACTGAAATTTTAAAATGCACCTGGTAGTGCAAATAGATACAACTAGTTAAAAGTGCACTAAAATTGCACTCAAAATGCACTCAATTATTAGGGGAGCCCTTTATTACTCTATTCGCATCCCAATTGGCACTCAACTGAAGGCCAACACTTGATGTCTTACAGAATCTCCATATGTAACCAATTGGCGTATTTTTGCACCAAATTTAAAATTGTTGACAGCATTTGTATAACTGTTGTAATGCTATCTATTTTTGTTTTGCAAATTGTTTTTGTCTAATAATTACTTTCACGTTAATGATTCAAAAAATTATTATTTCTATTAATATATTATAACAATATGTGTAATATATTAATTATGATATTATTTTTATAGGATATAAATTACTTAATCATAGTGTAATGATTTTATTTAAACAAAATTTCGAAATATTATAGATAACAGTAAAATTGTTTGCCAATAAAGTGCAAGTAAACGCAAATATTGAAATGAACTATGTCATTATGACTATCAATATTTTATTATTGATAATAAAAATTCTGCATAAATATAACGTAAATTATATTCATGCACTAATACATTAAAACAATATTTTATCATAAACAAGTAATTAATTATTATAACAAATAATTAAGAATCAATAATGAAAAACACAATTAGTTAGGCAATTAATCAAGCATTTAAGCAATTTATTGAATAAACATTGAAATAATAAATTATAATAGAATTACATTGATAATATTTTACTTCTTAGATGCAGCAAATTGTTTAATCAATTCCGGAATCTTTCCGTTCACTTCATTAAAATATGGCAATTCTTTCTGCACTCTGAAGAACCAGTTCTTCACATTCGGAAAGTCATCCAATTCTTTGTAATCGTTGAGCGCCAGAGCCGTCAGAGTTGACAGATAGGAGATGTCGGCGATTGTCAGCTCATTTCCGGCCACGTATTTGTTGTCACCGATAAAAGTGTCCAAAACTTTGAAATTGTTTTTGAAATTTTTGACAGAATTCTCGTGTGGTTCCACTCCTCTCATTACTTTGATCATCTGTTTTGACAATAAATACAAAAATCATGTTTATAGACAACGCCATTAATTATGCACACATTTTATAGACTACTGACCACTGCGTCCCGTATGGCGTAACCAATGCTCATATCATAGTAGAGAAGTCGGTCGACGTGTGCCCTCTTCTTGAGGTCATGGGTCGGATAGAGAGCACTGTTTGGCGCATACTTTGAGACCAAGTACTGCATAATGGCTCGACTCTCGCTAAGAGAAAAGCCATCGTCCACAAGAGTGGGCACAGTGTGCTGCGGGTTCCTCTGTTTAACACAATATCATTATTTAATTTAGATTATCATTAAATATGACATTACTTATAACAAAATAATCAATTGAAAATTACCTTAAGATATTCCTCTGTCAAGTGTTCCCCTTTTTGGAAGTTCACATCAATGACATTAACATCGAGTTTAAGCTGTTTGAGTGTCATTAACACCGCCCGAGACGGTGGGCTTAAGGTAGCGAAGTACAGATCGATCGGCATTTTCTCGCAATAAATTTACAACGTTTAGTATAAATAAACTTAAAATAATTTTGTGTCAAGTTGTGATCAACTATTGTGTGGCAAATGCAAGTATACGTTGACTTTTATACCTCCAAAGAATTATGTACTAAATGTTTAGTGTAATAGAAATATAGCGCAAAATACTGTAATACCTGTAGTTTCAATAGTTTAGTGCAGATCTGCATCAAATTTTTCCATTAGTATGCAATGAATTTGCACTTAAAATACACTTTACTGTATATCTCTTGTATGTATTTTTTTCTTGATTCGCATGGATTGGCAACAGAATGCTAACACTATTGCAT